ACTACTCTTAACCAGTGGGTAGATACAAGATGAACATTTGATGCATATTCATATATATTCCCAATGGAAGTAGATTTACATAGAATCAACACTTTCTAATCATATCACTTTCTTAAATGTAGTTACTATGTCTTCAGTCCCAAAGATTATACTACTAAAGCCAATGAAACAATAATGTATACATGAATCTATTTAAGAAATATGTATTGAGAGACTAGTTTTAATTGCAAGTGCTTTTATCTAATGGAAAAAGGATACCAAAAAAGAACTACCTACTATCATTATTTCATCTTAAGGTAAAAAGATAAGCCTGACATCACAAAAACGGTGTGGACATATTCAGAATAAAAGACAATTATTTAAGTAAAATAAAATTTAGCCTTCATAAAAAACGAATAAATTCTCAAACATACTTTTAAAAAAAAGGACTGTAAGGAAGCTCCATCTATTTTACTCTTTGATTTGGTATCTACATACCTAGCTAATTGGTTCTCTCTTTCTCTCTTTCTCCCTCAAATCTCCAGAGAAACATGTACATACGTGCAAACACGCATGATGTATTGATCGTTGTACAGATTCAAAAACTAGAAATACATAGAGCAATAATATGATTATTTTTGGTAGTGCTTTCTTGATTTAAAAAATGGTAAAGTTAGTAATGTTATGTCTTTGCTTGAATATTCTTATGCTTAATTTCTTTTTTATGTTTACAATTTGCCAAAAGAACTCACATGCTGTCTGACCAAAGTCTATTTTGTATAAAATTTCAATGAATTAAATATTATTATAAAATATAGCATTAGTCTCTGGTTCTCTTTTTCTTTCTTTCTTTCTTTCTTTCTTTCTTTCTCTCTTTTGTTCTTTCTTTATTTTGGTTATAGGAATTCATTTTAATAACAACCACATACACACACATACTCATCATATTTAATCCATAATCAATCCAAATAAATTGTTACATTATTATGCATTCACTATAAAAATTAAATTAATGTCTTATAGGATAAGTTTTAAAGAACTGAGTTTTAGAAAAGGTAACTCATCATTATATTTAGTCATACAAAATCATTTCTAGGAAAATAAAATAAATGTTTCTTCTTCCTGAAAGCTTTTAATATTTTTCTTCTATTTTTGGTATCCTGGAATCTTTTCAGGATGTACCTAAACATCATTAAGAAAAATGGCCTTGCTGTAATTGATAGAACTTCAATTCCTGAATGCTAGAAATTAAAAATTACAATAGCAAATTATTAAACACTAGAGGTCAGGTACACGGAAGTCACACCCTGGGGAGGGGGGAATAGGGCGTCCCTTAGTCTGGCCTGTGCCCTCTCTCATTCTGGGAGCCCTTGGAGCATGTCTGACTGCCGGCTTAGGCCTGCTCCTTATGAGACAGCAGTGGGACATCCTTAGTGCTGCTGTGGAGGTGGGAGAGGCTCCCGTCACCACCAGTGCTCTCACCAGCTGTGAGCCCAGCTCAGGGCTTCTGGCTGAGTGGCGCTCCCTCTGTGAGAGCACACTGACCACCAGGGGGAAGTTCACATCATAGCGACCGGTCATTCCGCCGTTCGGTCGATTTGCATATTAGCCTTTTATTATATAGGATTTTATTCCTCTGGACAAATAGTTTATTTATAGTACTTTCCTAGACACATAGATGACTTCTTTTACATGTACATCAGTTTCTCTTTCCTATGAGCTTTTGGAAGTGTGCTCATTTATAAACAGGAAGCCCACTGTCCCCTCCTTGCTGAGCATCACAAAGAATCACTTTTGCTACCAGGATGTCCCAACACCTTTCCTTCTGTGCTGGTCATAATGCAAAACTTGCGTTTACTCAGGTACTCTGTAAATTTGATGTGCTAAGGAAGTGGGAGGTGATGGGCATCACCTCTGACTTGTGAACACTCCCTCCTATCTTCCTGCAATGCAGTTCTGATAAACTGTAACATTTTATTTTTTTAAAATTCTGAGTTAGTGTTCTTTATTTCCAAATAGAGCATATCCTCTTTTTATCTGTGTCTCCTGGAATTCAATGATGCATTTTAATCTGAAGATTTATTTTTTTTAAATATATTTTATTGATTTTTTACAGAGAGGAAGGGAGAGAGATAGAGAGTTAGAAACATCCATGAGAGAGAAACATCGATCAGCTGCCTCCTGCACATCTCCCACTGAGGATGTGCCCGCAACCAAGGTACATGCCCTTGACCGGAATTGAACCTGGGATCTTTCAGTCCGCAGGCCGATGCTCTATCCACTGAGCCAAACCGGTTTCGGCTTTAATCTGGAGATTTAAGTCTGCTTCTGCTCAGATAAACTCTCATAATATTTAATAACTTCCTCTGCTTCATCTCTTCATTTTTCTTCTTTTAGCACCTTTTTTTATTCACTAAGAAAGTCTACTGCATTTGTTACCCAAATCTATTATTTTCTTACCTATTTCAATGGTTTTAACAGAGAATCTCTGTTCCTTTTATTCATCTATTGTGTGTGTGTGCGTGAGTATGCACACACACACAAGTTATGGTTCATTTGTAGAGGTCCAGCAAAGTTTTCTTTTTTTGTCTGTGTGTGGGGGGGCATGCATGCCTGTGTGTGCTATGCTTGAATCTCCTTGTTTTTATGATTTTTCATATTGAGGAGCAGGAACTTCTTTTTGTTCAAGTTCAAAATCAAAATGTAACCCAGCCCTTTCAACACTTAAATAACATCTATATGCTATCTGGTAAAAAACAAAACAAAACAACAACACAAAAAAACAACAACAACAACAATAAGCATTTAAGATGTCCAGTAAGGTGCAAAACTGCCATTCTCTGGAGCATTTTCTCAATCCATTGAAATTTTGGTTTCCCAGCAATTGACATCAGTTTGGCTCAAATAAACTCACAAAAATTCTTTACAGGTTTGGACATTTCTTATATTGAAAGTGCAATTAACAAACATGGTAATTTCTATATTGGATATATTAGAAAGACTATAAAGACAATTTACTAAAACTACAACAAAAAGGAAAAGAGAAATTGCCTTTGCTTTAGGTACGAACCAGACAATAATAAAGATTGGAAAGTATACAACATGATCTGGAATGACTCTTCATTCAGATTGCTTGTCAAGTTTCTTCATGCTATTTAAAGAGCCTGAAGCTGAACATCTTAGATAACTGAACATTTTAGCTGAACTACTTTTTGTGTAATGTATGCCAGGAAGAAAATGGGAAATTTTTATCAGCGGACTCAAAGGAGAGCCCTTGGCCTTACAACAAAAACTGGTGAATGAATACATACGTATGGATTTTTATTCTCTAGTGCCTCTCTTTAGTTTGAAACACATTTTTAAATAACATGCCAATTATTAGATAACAAGGGTTTGACAATGGTGACTTTTACATCAACTCTGTGCTCCAGGAAAGAGCAAAAGTTAACAGAACCCACCCTTTTATGTTTCACAAAAGAGCTTATTGGAAAAAAAAAAAAAACCCTTCCCCACATAATTTAGATAAAACTCACACAAGCTCTACAAATTCCCACTGAGGAGGAGAAAAGTCTGTCCTCCCAAAATATGCCTTTTGAGGATATTGATTAAGCTGGTGATTTTTAAGAACAAAAGACACAAAAAAGAGCCTTTTACCTCCTCACTTGTGAATTCAGATGGAAAAATCGGCTCCGGGAAGAGAGATCACCTTAGCATAAGTGAAGCAGACAGGGAAGAACCTGGCCACGTCTCTTAGACTCCCTTCTGCATCCCATTGTTTATGGAGGACCCAGAAATAATTTGTTTGCCAAATGTTCACTCCTTCTTGTCTGCCTGGGAATTACCTATCTTCTCTTTGAAGTTCTATTACCCCCTATTCCGTAGCTCAAGGTGGGACTTAAGCCTCAACTGTCCGATATGTCCTCAGGTTACATTTAAGTCAACTCATTACCTGATTTGAATCAATTCTTATGGAACAGTTGAATGTAAATATGTAATAAATTTGGTTTTCTGTCTTGTTTATCTGTCTCCTGTCAATTTGTTTATTAATCAGCCAGAAGAACTAAGAGAGGAAACACAAGATGATGCTGGCTTCGGGGTAAAATATTCTCTGAGCTACTACTACTACCTCATCAAGGTGTCCTTTCATCCCACTTGCACACACCCTAGTCTTTCTGGTCTTGCTCACTCCTTTCAATATATTTCTTATATTAATTTCAGAGAGGGAGGGAGAGGGAGAGAGAGAGATGGAAACATCAATGATGAGAGAGAATTATTGATTGGCTGCCTCCTGCATGCTCTACTGGGGATCGAGCCTACAACCCAGGCCAGCCATGGCATAAGAATCGAACCATGACCTCCTGGTTCATAGGTTGATGCTCAACCACTTAGCCACGCCAGCTGAGCTCCATACTCTTAAGATACTTGGAGACTTTATTATGATCACAACCTTCGCATTATCACACTATCCCTTTCTCTCCTTTGCAATAATCATTTTGAATTAAGTCTCTGTGTACTAAATCTGCTGTGTGTTTTTTATTTGACAAATTTTGTCAAATGTTGAGATAATAGATTTTTGGATTACATTGATACACATAAAGTTAGGTTAAATTTAGCACTAAGGAAGAACATGGGGGAAAAAATCAAGTTTATTAAATTAATTAAGCAAGGAGGTCATTAGACCAAGGTGGCTTTAATGCCGAGAGGCCTATGTAAGCAAACCAAAATCTAAGCCTGTGAACACCTCAAGGTTACAAAATCAAATGCTAAGGATAACCAATTACAGACAGACAACTAGGCTTTAGGCTATAGGCAATTAAATAATTACCTTATTTTTGGTATTGCCTTTTCTGTATAAAAGTCTTCCTCCAACTTCCTCTGTGTGGAGCCCTCCTAACCACTTCTGATTTA